ATAGCTTTGTAGCTCAATTATCCGTGAATGGTAATACACGATGGATGGGATATGTGAAAAAGCATCGTCCGCCTACACGGTGTTGTTCCGTTCGGACTTTCCTCCTGACAACACCATGCGGTAATACCATTCATAACCGTGTATGTCACGTGGTTGCGCGATAGAAAGTTTACCGACCAATAGAAAGCTTTGTTACAAAGACTGCCAGAAAGCGCTCGGAGCTCTGCATTTCTGATATTTTCGGCTTCATTACTGCCGATATGTGTTGCAGTGATATCACGAGCTTTTGGGTTATAACACCTACTCTTCTATAATAGTCAACAGTGGTGACAACACTATTACCACTATTATTAAGTAAAGCTTGAATAGCTTTGGTCTGAATATCAGTGAGTTGCATGATGTATCGATATTGTCACTGTATCGCCTCGACATTCAAGCGAACACAGCTTTAGCTGTGCTCAGCGACATTTATTCTCGTGTCAGGCATTTTCACTGCCTAGCAACCATCATGGTGAAACAAAGGCCAATAAATTCTCAGAAAACGGTATTTTGGGTTGGTTGTTGTCACCCCCTACATATGCAACATATTTAAATTTGGTTGGATTTTTTCAAAGTTAAGTTTGTGCTGTTTTCTCGATTTTAGCTATTTTCACCGGCTTTTTTATCGGTGCACAGCAGCTCGCGCAAAGTCCATAGAAATACATGGTAGAGTGGTGCGCGTCTTAAATAGCAACGTGAAGCGTTTAGTGACTTAGCTCCACCTCGAAGATTTTGATAGCTTGGCCAAGCGCGTTGAAGAAAGAAGTTATATGATTAGCTGTTGTTAAACTGGTTCTAAACTGTGAGGGCATTGTCACATACACATAGTCCTAATGAAATACTTCAAGGTGATAGTGGAGTGCTTCGCCGGAACATTCACCTTGAAAATTCAAGATGGTGAAAAAGTAAATAAATGCTACACACTTCTAAACCAAACCATTGATGAATGACCACCCACTTCTAAACAAAATAACGTGAAATGACACCCCAGTCGGGCGGCACATACCCATATTGCACTTCTATGCAAGTAGCCCCCCGGGATGTGCATAACCCGGAAATGGGAATATGATCCGTTATTGAAACGAGCTATGTAATATGGATGGTGAGAGATTATCAACAAGGATTTGTATGTGGGATAACCAACTTTTCTGCGCCAATTTGTCATTTGAAATGATTTATTTATTTGAGAGTCTTGAAAGGAAAGAGTTTGCACCTTGTATTGTGGCCATGGTGTAACGTAATATTCACACACTGTTGAGAACTGGTTTCAAAATGTTTCTGATATACCCAAACTATGCTCCCATTCAAAATTCAAATCCGGGCATTGTACAAGTTCTATTTTCGTAGTTAATTATTGCCGGATTATACTACTGATTTCCTACGCTCTTATGAATTTCTGTGATTGATACTAAAAATTGTTCTGTGTGTGTGTGTGTGTTTGTTGACTGATATTCTTTTACTTTATACCGACTTGTAGGCAGGGTGGGCTAGGTAATAATTAGTCGTTGTTTCTAATACTTGCCCCGGTCAAGTGTGAATTGGAGGTGTGGCTATTCTAATTCATGGTGCTAATCACTTGCATAGCCTATGCCGCATCCTGTTTCAGCGGTCCAACATCACGTGACTTTGATTGACAATAGTAATTGTTCAAGATTAGTCCCGCGTCCCTTTCCCCGGTTCATGTTTACTTTTATCCGCCAAAATCTCAGATCGTACACTATTTATTGTCATAAATACTACACACAGTCACTGCTGTGATATTCATAGTCACATGCATCCACTTTGGTACGACATAATAGACATGTAAGTTCGAGAAAACATGTTTTTACCGGAGCTTGGCTGGAGCTGTTTACTACAATGTGACAAGCAAGGAAATAATCCCTATTGTTTAGGAGCGTATTTATAGTATACCTGGACCTTTAACAGTTACTTGCAAAATCAATTAATAAACTACTCCTGTCAAAGTGATTGTGCTTTTTATTTACAAAACGCACTTGTTTCAATACAATATAATATCACTCCACAATATTAATTTATGTTATACATCTCGAAATATGTAAATGCAATCACTATTTTTATTTCTATCGACAGGGATTTGGAGAAGGCAATTTCAAAACATTATTTGAGGCAGTTGAAAGGCAACAACAAGCAAGGGGGAATCTCTTCAAAAATGTTATTCACAAGTAAAAGCTGTTTTATTATCAGTTATTATTTCTGTAATAAGTTATAATCGATTTATTGTATGTTGTATGCTTGATTGCGAGAACATTGTCAACAAGTGTACAACTGAAATGACAGAACGTGTTATGAAATATATAATTTATTTGTGCTAGTAAATAAGATTAGTTTATATATTCTGGGAATGGTTTAGGACGTTTCACTTATTTTAAAAAATAAAAATAGTTACAAAATGTAGATGTAATAACGAATGATCTGATGATGAAGGTTTTGCAAACGATGGGAAAATGATTTAATGTGATGAACTAATGTGAGATGAACTATTGCACAGAAATAAATATTAAAGAATATGTTGAATACTCATGTTTATTTTGCATACTTTTGGGGCACACTCTGTGAAATGCATGTTCATCAAATATTAACCAGATGCAATATAGTTCACAAGATTTGACTGTTCACTCAAATAGTCGATGTTTTAGTAACACAAAGTTACTAGTGCAACGTTTTCATTTGAGCAATATTCAAATACATATTGAAACGATATAGTGGTATAATATATTTATTTTAACGTAAATAACTGGCATTAGAACATTTCATCCAACAGCATATAAGCTGCTGACATCTGTAACATATATTCATATATGTGATAAACCATTCTTACTGAGAACCAGTCCGCTGGTAAACCATTGAAAATGTTAAAAGACTTTGGATCAGACTATGATGCTTGATAGGACTATCTTGGCTTATA